ACCCGAACCAAAGAACCAGACTGAAGAACCAGAACAAAGAACCAGACTGAAGAACCAGAACTAGGACCCGAACCAAAGAACCAGACTGAAGAACCAGAACCAGGACCCAAACCAAAGAACCAGATTGAAGAACCAGAACTAGGACCCGAACCAAAGAACCAGACTGAAGAACCAGAACCAGGACCCGAACCAAAGAACCAGATTGAAGAACCAGAACATATAACCAGACTGATGAATCAGACTAAAGAACCAGGACCAGAACCAGAACCAGGACCCGAACCAAAGAACCAAACTGAAGAACTAGACCAAAGAACCAGACTGAAGAACCAGACTAAAGAACCAGATTGAAGAACCAGAACATATAACCCGACTGATGAACCAGACTAAAGAACCAGGACCAGAACCAGAACCAGGACCCGAACCAAAGAACCAGACTGAAGAACCAGACTAAAGAACCAGGACCAGGACCAAAACCAGGACCCGAACCAAAGAACCAGACTGAAGAACCAGAACCAGAACCAGGACCCGAACCAAAGAACCAGACTGAAGAACCAGAACAAAGAACTAGACTGAAGAACCAGACTAAAGAACCAGGACCAGAACCAGAACCAGGACCCGAACCAAAGAACCAGACTGAAGAACTCCTTCAGAAAAACAGAGACTAAAGGTTACATCTGTTGAGACGGTTCTTTTCTCACAGGATGTTTGAAACATCAAAGGTCAACAAACATCACTAAAACAGGAAGCTGAAGGTCTGAAGAGTCCTCCAGGTTCTCCTTCCTCAGAGTCCTTAAATAACCAGAACCAGAACCATCTGAGTCCATCTTGTCTCCTCGGCTTGTTGTGAACGGACAGAAACATCACGAAGAAGCTAAAACTGAAAGATCTTTATCTGAACACTCAAAGCTTCTCTTCACAAACAGATCATTAAGATGCTAAAAGAACCCAAACCAGCAGGACCTCCTGGGAACCAGTTCTTCATCAAACACCACAGAAAGTCCTCCGAGGACCAGAGACGGACAGGATGATCCTCTGACTGAGAAACCTCTGACTCAGGACCCCAAAGACCAACAAAACTGTCAGGAATCCTGTTAGCAGTAGCTACATTAGCATTAGCAGTAACAGTAGCTACATTAGCATTATAATTAGCATCAGCTACATCAGCATTAGCATTAATGGTAGCTACATTAGCATTAGCAGTAACAGTAGCTATATTAGTATTAGCAGTAACAGTAGCTACATTAGCATTAGCAGTAACGGTAGCTAAATTAGCATTAGCATTAACGGTAGCTACATTAGCATTAGCAGTAGCAGAAGTACGTGAGTAAATAAAAAATAGTTTTTGGCAGATTTGAAGGGATCTTTGTAAATAAAGTAAAAGATTTAAAAAATAAAAGTTACAAAACCTAAACGATCTCAGTGCCGATCTCCTGAAACAGCCGAATGTTTCAACAACAGCTAAAATAACACAAAGTCTGCAGAAGAAGTAAAATATATGCAGAAACATAAAAACTAAACTTTAGGTTCAAGTCAATGAAAAAGATTTGATCAACTGTAAATAAAAAGCTAACATTTCAAAATAAAACACAGCCAACAGCAGGACCACAGGTGGACTTGATGACCCGGTCCACAGAGCGGGACAAAGGTCCAATCACCTCTGCTTTGAACTCAGTTTGTGGGACGTCCAACAGGACCTGAAACCTGAAAACCACCACAAAATAAAGACCAGAATAAAAGAACTGAACCAGGATCTCAGCCCAACACGGTTCAGATAAAACCAGAACCAATAATCCCTGAAAGACCGAGCAGAACCAGAATCACGGATCCCACAGAGACGGAATGAAGGAGAGACAGGTAGCGGGGGGTCATCAGGAACCAGAACCAGAACCAGTTCTCACGTCTCGTTCAGGTCCTCGGTGGATCGGACTCAGGCGGTGCGCCACGGCAGGCGGGAAGCCCGCAGTTCTGCCGCGGCTGAGGAAGAGGAGGAGGAAGAGGATGTTCGGCTGTTTTCTTACCAGTACAGCAGCTTGTTGTTGAGGATCGGCGGCGTTTTGTCCGAGGCGCAGTTAATGCACCACATCGTTGCGGCTGAAGCGGAGCGGGGAGCCGAGACGGAGCCGAGACAGGAGCGGAGGGACAGAGTGTCTCTGCTGCTCTGAGTCTGCATCTCCTCCTCCTCCTCCTCCTCAGCATCACCACCAGCATCAGCAGCAGCAGCAGGGGCGGAGCGAGGAGCGTCAAACACCGGGGGCCTCGGCCCACCAGCAGCCACATTTACAGATTTAAGCTGAGTCAGCAGATAAAATGGTTTAAAGCCAAACCTTCAAACGGATTTAAAGAAACACCTCTCCTCAGATTTTACTGCACAAAGACGAAGCCGTGCTTTTATTTTGAAGAGAACAGATGGTGTTCTTTAGTGTTTTATCACACTTTCTTCCTGTGAGAGGCTTGTGTGTGGAGCTGAGATGACTCAGAATCACAGGTCGGTCTGATACATTCCTCACAAAGATCAGTTTAAATTCATCAAAGCTTCATTTCCAACGAGATTAGAAAAGAAAGCTCTGATTTTAACTGACATGTTTTTATTTTTATATAAAACTTTTATTATTGACACATCAAGATCAGTCCAAACAAATCATGGGTGTCCTCATAACCCTGTCCACTCACAGGTTTATTATAAAAATCACCAAAACAAGTCCATTAAACAACTTAAACTCTGTATAACTCAGTTCTGTTTCCCCTTTCAAAATAAAAGCATTTAATTATTTAATTCTTTTGATAAAGAGATGAAGGTTGAGCAGATGCAGGTTTTTCCACCTGAACATTKATCTGGTTTGTTACAGACGGCAGCATTAAGCTCAGGAGGAACTTTTATTGTTTTATTTTGTAGTTTATGATGACGAGATTTAACCCTTTCAGTTGGAAGAAGGGATAAAACTATGGCATAAATTTTGTGCCAGCAGGAATTGAATTTGAATTGCTCAGAATGAATMTGAATGTGCAGAATCTAAAATATTKTTTTCATGTTTCTCTTTATTATTATTCTATCACTATTCCAAACTTTTTTTGGACTCTATCTCCTTCCGCAATTTTTGTGCTGTTTCTACGATTCATCTATCAAAATGTTATGCTACTTCTTGCCATTCTGGCAATGACTTCTATTATCTTTAATCTTTATACTTTTTTAGTTATTTAAATTTTTACGAAGTTTTTTTCCCATTGACTTTGAATGGGTACACTTTTTGGACGGCTTCTCCTTCCACAATTTTTATGCTACTTAAACCATTCATATAACAAAATGTTCAACTACTTCAGGACATTGCAGCTATGATTTTTGGTCTCTTAAATTTGGTCTCTTGAATATGGATCAGTCAGCAGCAGCATCTGATCAATATGTGATCCATGATGTCATCATGTAAATGTAACATTTTCTACATATAGGTCAAATTAATCACTRCAATAAAATAACTTTGTGTGTTTTTGTCACTTTTACAGTGGATTGCATCAACTCTGTTACACCCAGAAGGGAAACTTCACCAAAGTGAAACATAAATCTGTGGATCTGTGTTTGATTACTCTGCCTGGCTTTCTCAAGGACCAGGATGTGACACAAAAATCTGAATTATGGAACTGAAAGTGAAAGTAGTCAAATTGAACTTTTAATAAACCAAAATACAGTTTCAATTTAGTGAAATTTATTTTCAAACCAATGCGTTCAATTACAAATTCTGCACATTCAGATTCACTTCCTGTTGGCACAAGATTGATTCCATATAAAACAGGACATTCAGTAGTTTTAGTCTCTCAGGACTTTATAAACTCCGTTGATCTGGAACCGTCAGATCAACGGGACTTTCGCTCGTTCTTGTCCCCGTCTTCAGTCTCCTCCTCCGTCCTACAGTCTCAGGACAGTTACCGTGGGCAACTGAGTCAGAAACACAAAAGAGCTTCCCCTGGGTTTCCATGGCAACGGCAGCCCGGGGGGATTACATCGTTTCTGTTTCCTCGCCTCCGTGACAACAATGACCCACACGTCCTTCGTCCCCCCCCCCGTCCTGTCCTCCGTTTGTGTCCGTCCCCTCGTCCCTCACTCATTCAGCTTTAACCTACTTCTTCTTTATGTTTCCCTGCTCATCCCTCCATCTTCATCCCTCCATCTTCATCCCTCCCTCCTCCACAGTGAGTCCTCAGCCTGGGGACAGGCTTCTATAATTCATTTCTTGTCCTCCCTCGTCCTCTCTCTTTCCTTCTGTTTCTGTTCGTCTCTCCAACAGGAAATAATAATTATTAAATTATTTATTTATTTACGAATAAAAACCAAACGTCTCCTCACTGAAACTCCAACAACTTTCTTTCTTTTTTCTTTTAACTTTCATTAATCTGATGGATGACAGAGCTGCACTTTTATTTTGAAGAGTATCGGCACGCAGCCTCCTAACCTTCATTTAGATGAAAACAACTGGGACAGATGTTTGACTTGTCTAATTTAATGAGAATCCTGTCCCTCAGTGTCCCTCAGGTTCAGCACCCTTCATCAGTCAGGCAGACACCACCTGTCAGAGCTTCAGATCAAACTCCAGTTTTTACCTTTTGGTTTTCATGTTTTCAGACCTGAACCTCAGGCTGAATAACTGCTGAGTCATGATTCTGAAATGCAGTGGTGGGCACCAGACCGCTAAAGCGCAAATCCACCAATTGAGGACCTAAATATTTCATTTGCGCTTTAGCGGTCTTACTAATTTTTATAGTTCATAAGCAGATTTGCACTTTCTAAAATTAAAATGCAGTACCACTAATAACTAATTATCTACCAGTCATCATTATGTTGAACAGCAGAAGGTATGACTGTCAATGAATCACAACACATGTGATCTATCCAACAGCACCCCTCCCAGATAAACACACTTATTGTGAAGGTATACATCCTGCTGACTGTTGCTTTGGGTCACGGTTCTGATTTCCCACAATGCTTTGTGTCTGCTTACGTAGCAGGAAAACAATAGCAAAAATAGTTAATGTTTGTAATCCATACTAAAATTTTGTATGTATTGATTTATTTTACTTTACAATCGGAACTCCTTTTTTAAAAATAAAAAGTTTAAACCCTGGAGCTCAATACTTGATGTAATTGGTCGAAGCAATCGGCGACTCGGCGACTCAGAAATGATTTAAAGATGTTATGCTGGTGAAGACTGACATCTAGTGGTCAACTGGAGAAACTACATGGAAAACTTTCATTTCCCGTCACAAATCAAATCCGTCATGTACCCAGAATGCATCGCTTCGGTTTTCCAGTAAACAGTTTTAAAATTACTTTATTGATGCTTCTTTAATGAAAAATCTACAACAAACAAAAGAAAAAGACAAAGAAGCAGCCGAACTAACAATCCTCAACAACTTTTTAAAGAAGCAGCCGAACTAACAATCCTCAACAACTTTTTAATTTTTACACCAGGAGCTAAAAGGTCTGTTTCAGGAAATCACATCCCCAGCAATCGATGGTTGTAGGATTAAGCTGTAAAAGAGTTCATACACCACTAGTTGGCAGTGCTGTGCATATATTGTACATGAATTGTTTACAGTTAGGATTAGTCCTAATTGTTAATAACTATGACTCTTTTAAAGTCTTTTATAAAACAAACAGGTTAAACTTTACAGCTTTCACTTTATTTTCATAAAATAACTGTTCAAGTTTMACTAAAGAAGAAACGTTTGAAGAAGATGATGATGAAGAGTGAGGAAGATGAAGCTAAAGAAAAATATGATTAATTATGAAAACAGCAGCTCGTCCTCTTTATGTCATCTCATGCTGCATTTATTATTTAGCATTAGATTCTCCTGCTCCTCTATTTAATTCTGATTTTATTCATTTTAGATCAAAGGTTTCAACTAGGGGTGCAGGGTACTTATCAATCTGATATCAGGAGATTATGACGTCATACTTATCAGTCTAATATCAGGAGATTATGACGTCATACTTATCGGTCTGATATCAGGGGATTATGACATCATACTTATCGGTCTGATATCAGGAGATTATGACGTCATACTTATCAGTCTGATATCAGGAGATTCTGACATCATTCTTATCGGTCTGATATCAGGAGATTATGACATCATACTTATCAGTCTGGTATCAGGGGATTATGACATCATACTTATCAATCTGATTTCAAGAGATTATGATGTCATACTTATCAGTCTGATATCAGGAGATTATGATGTCATACTTATCAGTCTGATATCAGGAGATTATGACGTCATACTTATCGGTCTGACATCATAACAAACAGAACAGATAATATATGTTCATGTTTGCCAGCGTGGCAGTAAGTGTRCTTATTTATTTTTATCCTTTTTGGTCAAGCCGCTTCTTGTCCTGTTCGACCCGTGCAACGTTCAAGTAGCGTTGGAAAAAATAACTTTTTCAATAGAACAATAATCAGAATACTCCGTGCTGAAAAACAACCAGTCATTTTAATAATTATTAATATAATTTTACCGATTGGTTTTTAAAATAAGTTATCCCTAGTTTAGGGACACGAGGACATGTCTCCAGTCCATCGCAGGGACACAGAGATGAACCTGCCACCCGCCTGTTGAGGAGACCGCTCTAACCGCTGGACTACCGTACCGCCCGGTTCAATCCACAGAGATATTTCAGATTGGCTTCACCCTGAAGATCAGACCATGCAGTGAGCTCCACCTCAGACTCTACAGGTTAAAGGTCAGAGGTCGTGGCTCATCTCTCCAAAAACAACATGAACTCTGAGACTTCAGGACCAGAACCAGATAAAACATTTACCCACAATGCACTGCAGCAAACAGAACCTCAAACATCCAGGAATATTTGACTCTTTTGAACGTGTTTTCATTTTTACACATCAGATATAAATTTGTACCAAAGTCACTTCACTAAACTTTATTAAAGTGCCTATGACATCAAATTTTTATGATAAATATGAATGTATTATTTTAAAAATAACACTGATAAAATATTGTAAAAAAGATTTCCAGCTGCTGAGATGAACAGTTGTTGAGATATTTACATGTTCAGTAACAGGAAGTGATGTCAAGTTGTAACAGGAAGTGATGTCAAAGGGGAATGTCAGCATGTAACCAGAGTGTTGCTGTAAGAATTAACAACACAGACTGTAGAGAAGAATCTGATGTTTCTTTACATTATTTTAATCATCATAGAGGAAAAAGATTCAGATCAAATAATGTTTGAATAAAGTTTTCTTTCACAAAGAGTTCCCCTTTGATGTCACTTCCTGTTTCACTTTAGCTGAGCCAAATTCAAAAGAAAATAAGCCAATTATGTGA